TATCTCTCCCTCTCCTTTCCTCTCTCTGAAATCAATAAAGATATATTAAAAAAAAAAGAAATTGGCAAACTGTTTTCTAGAGTGCTTATACTATTTTACATTGTTTATCCACATCTTTGCTAAAATTTTGTATTTTCATTATATTTTATTTTAGCTATTCGAATAAGTGTATAGTGATATCTTACTGTGGTATTAATTTTCACTTCCTTAATGGCTAGTGATATTGAACATCTTTTCATGTACTTATTGGCCATCTTATATCCTCCAGTTAAATGTCTCTTCATGTATTTGTCCATTATCTAATAGGATTATTCTTTTTATTTACTACTGAGTTTCAAGGATTATATATTCTAGATATAAGTCCTTCTTAAAATATGTGGCGCCCGGCCGGGCGTGGCTCAGCGGTTGAGCGTCGACCTAGGATCCAGGCAACCAGGGTTTGATTCCTGGTCAGGGCACATGCCCGGGTTGCGGGCTTGATCAATGACCCTCTAATCATTGATGTTTCTGTCTCTCTCTCTCCCTCTCCTTTCCTCTCTCTGAAATCAATAAATATATATTAAAAATAAAATAAAATATGTGGCTTGAAAATATTTTGCCCTAGTTTGTAATCTTGTCTTTTTTATTTGTTTATATAAGCTTTTGCCAAGCAATAGTTTTTAATTTTAGTGAGGTTCAATTTATCAATTTCCCCTTTATGGATCATGCTTTTGGTGTCATGTGTAAGAACTCTTTACTTAGCCCTAGATCCCAAAGAGACATTTCTTTTTCTTCAGAGCAATTATAAGTGGTATTGTGTTTTTAATTTTGGTTTTTGTGTTTTAATTTTGGTATTGTATTTTTAATTTTTTTAGTATATAGAAAAGCAATTTAATATTTGTGTGTCAATCTTCTATCCTGCAACTTTGGTGACTTATTGATTCTAAGATTATTTCTGTAGTTTCATTGAGATTTTCTACATACACATAGCATCTACAAACATAGTTTTTTTTCTTCTAATCTATGTCTTTTTATTTTCAACTTCCAGTACTATGTTGCATAAGAGTATTGAGAGCAGATATGCTTGCCTTATTTATATCTTAGGGGAAAGATATTCACCATTAAATATGATGTTAGCTGTAAGATTTCTGTTTTTTATCAAGTTGAGGTACGTCCCCTTGATCCCAAATTGCTGTGAGAGGTTTTTGTTTTCTTCCATGAGTGAGTGTTAGATTTTGTCAAATACATTTTCTGCATCAGTTGGTATGATCATATGTTTCTTCTTCAGCATGTTGATTATGGTGGATTACATTGGTTGAATTTTTTAATGTTGAACAAGACTTGGTTATGGTGTATAATTATTTTTATATATTGTTGGACTCAATTTGTTCACATTTTGATAAGAAGTTTTGTATCTAAGTTCATAAGCAATATTGGTCCTTAGTTTCTTTTTCTGTATTGTCTTTTGCCTGGTTTTGGTATCTAGGTAATATTGGCCTCATGAAGTGAGTTTGGTAGTGTTACTTCTTTCTATTTTCTGAAAGAGATTTTGTAAAATTGGCATTAAATATTTTTTTTAAATGTCTGATAGAATTATCCATTGAATTCAAGTGAGCATATAGATTTCTTTTTCAGGAACCTTAAATTACAAATTGAATTTTTCTATTGGTTATAAGGCTATTTAAATTGTCTACTTCATATTGGTTGAAACTAGTAGTTTGTGGGTTTTGAGGAATTGTCCTATTTCATCTTAGTTGTCAAATTTATTAGCATAAAGTTATTTGTAACATTCCCTTATTGTCTTTTCCATGGCTGTAAGATTTAGTGATATACTGTTTCCATTCCTGACACTGGTAACGTGTGTATTCTGTCTTTTTGCTTTTGTCAGTCTTGCCAATTTTAAAAAATTGGCTTTTAAAAAAATTTATCTTTATTGTTAAAAGTTTTACAGATATCCCCCTTTTATCCCCCATTGAACCCCTCCTCCCTCCCCCTCCTCAGGCCTTCACCAGACTATTGTCTGTGTCCATGGGTTATATATATATGTATATAAGTTCTTTAGTTAATCTTTTCCCACCACCCAACCGCCTTTCCTCTGAGAATCATCAGTCTGTTGCATGCTTCCACGTCTCTGGATCAATTTTGTTTGTCAGTTTATTTTGTTCATTAGATTATACATATTAGTGAGATCATGTGATATTTGTCTTGCTCTGACTGGCTTATTTCACTTAGCATAATACTCTCCAGGTCCCTCCATGATGCCTCAAAGGGTAAGAGATCCTTCTTTTTTATAGCTGCATAGTATTCCATTGTGTAAAAGTACCAACAGCTTTTTTATTGACTCATCTACTGATGGGCACTTGGGCTGTTTCTAGATCTTAGCTATTGTAAATTGTGCTGCTATGAACATAAGGGTGCATATATTCTTTCTGATTGGTGTTTCAGGCTTGTTAGAATATATCCCTAGAAGTGGGATCACTGGGTCAAATTGCAGCTCTGTTTTTAATTTTGTGAAGAAACTCCACACTGTTTTCTATAGTGTTATACCTGTCTGCATTCCCACCAGCAGTGTACTAGGGTTCCTTTTTCATTCTCAAAGATAGACCACATGTTAGGGCACAAACTAAGTCTCTACCAACTCGGGGAGATTGAAATCATATCAAACATCTTGTCAGACTGCAATGGCATGAAAATAGAAATCAAGTACAATAAAAACACCCCAAAACATTCAAACACATGGAGATTAAATAGCATGTTATTAAACAATGAATGGATTATCAATGAAATCAAGGAAGAAATAAAAAACTTCTTGGAAACAAATGAAAATGAACACACTACAACTCAAAATCTACGCAACACAGTGGAAGCAGTTCTTAGAGGGAAGTTCATGGCACTACAGGCCTACCCCCAAAACAAGAAACAATTTCCAATAAACTATCTAACCCTACAACTTAAAGACTTAGAAAGAGAACAATAAGAAAAGCCCAGAGTAAGTAGAAGGAAGGAAATAATAAAGATAAGAGGGGAAATAAATGACATAGAGCCTAAAAAAAAAACCAATATAAAAGATCAATGAAACCAAGAGCTGGTTCTTTGAAAAGATAAATAAGATTTATGAACCTTTAGCCAGACTCATCAGGAAACAGAGATAGTACCCAAATAAATAGAATCAGAAACAAAAGTGGTGAAGTAACAACTGACACTACCAGAATATAAATGATTATAAGAAAACACTATGAACAACTATATGCCAGCAAGCTGCACACCCTGAACAAAATCGACAAATTCCTAGAAAAATACAGTCTTCCAAAACTGAATCAGGAAGAATCAGAAAACCTGAATAGGCCAATAACAACTGATGAAATCGAAGCAATAATCAAAAAACTCCCAGCACACAAAAACCCTGGCCCAGATGACTTCACAGGGGAGTTTTACCAAACATTCAAAGAAGAACTAACACCTATCATCCTCAAACTATTTAAAAAAATCCAAGAGGAAGGAACACTACCAAACTCTTTTTAAGAGGCCAGCATCATCCTAATTCCAAAACCAGGTAAAGACACTACAGGCCAATATCCCTGAGGAACATAGATGCTAAAATCCTCAACAAAATATTAGCAAATTGGATCCAGCAATATATTAAAAAGATCATACACCGTGACCAAGTGGGATTTATTCTAAGGATGCAAGGCAGGTACAATATTCAGAAATCAATGTGATATATCACATAAACAAATTGAAGGACAAAAATCAAATGATCATATCAATAGACACAGAAAAACTGTTTGACAAAATCCAACACTGATTTTTTATAAAAACTCTCAGCAAAGTGGGAATAGAGGGATCATACCTCAATATAATAAAGGCCATACATGACAAACCTACAGCTAACATCATAATGAGCAAAAACTTTATTGCTTTTTGAAAGAACCAGTTTTTTCATTAATATTCTATTTTGTTTAGTTCTAGTTTCCATTTCATTGATTTCTGCTCTTGTCTTTGTTTCCTTCTTTCTGCTTCTCCTGGGTTTATTTTCCTCCCTGTGCCCCTAGTTTCTTGAGGTTAGAACTTAGGTTATTTATTTGAGACCTTTTCTCATTTCTTATGGCAGCATTTAGTGCTATAAATTTGCCTCCCAGCATTACTTTAGCTGTTTCCCAGATATTTTACTATGTTGCATTTTCATTTTTCACTCAGTTTTATGTAGTTTTTTATTTCCTTTGATACTTCCTCTTTTTCTCATGGATTATATAGAAGTATGTTTTCTAATTTCCATATGGTTTAGAGATTTCTTGTTGTCTTATTGATTTCTAGTTTCATTCCATTATGATCAGATAATATACTGTATAATTTTAATTCCTTTAAATTTGTTGAAGTTTGTTTCATGGGCTAGGATATGTTCTGTTCCCTGAGTACCTGCAAAAATGTGTATTCTGTTGTTAAGTGGAGAGTTCTGTATATGGAAATTAGATCCTATTGGTTGTATTTTTCTGATCTCCTATATCATTGTTAACTTTCTCTCTTGCAGATCTATCAGTTCCTGAGGGTGGTGTGTTTAAGTCCCTAATTATAATCCTGGATTTTTCTATTTCTCTATTTAGTTTTATTAGTTTTTTTTGTGTGTGTTTTGAGGTTATATTGTTTGTTATACAGTTGTGCATCACTTAATGACGGGGATAAATTCTGAGAAATGCCTTGTTAGGCAATTTTATTGCTATGCAAACATCATAGGCTGTGTTCACACAAACCTTGATGGTATAGCCTACTACACACCTAAGCTAGATTGTATAGCCTATTGTTCCTAGGCAATAAACTTGTACAGCATGTTACTATAATGAATACTGTAGGCAATAGTAACATAGTGGTAAGTATTTGTGTATCTAAATATATCTAAACATAGACAAGGTACAGTAAAAATACAATATAAAAGATTAAAAAATTCACTTAACATGAATAGAGCTTGCAGGACTGGAAGTTGGTTTGGGTGAGTCAGTGAGTAAGTGGTGAGTGAATGTGAAGGCCTAGGATATTACTGTACACTAATGTAGACTTTATAAACACTGTCCCACAAGTCCTCCCCCTGCTTCCTTTCAACAGGGTCAGAAATAGAACATCGAAGCTGTCAATGCTGCTCCATGAACAGGGATGTGGGCTGGATTGATTGGAAATATCAAGGAGAAACTGGCTGGGTAAGGCGTAGATCATTATTACAGTGACTTGTCAGGAGGGAGTGAAAGGTGGCTTGAGGATTAGTAGGAAAAAGTAATCAAGATGGAGATATTAAGGCACATAGGGGATTATCATGGCAATGTGGTTTTGGCTATTGCATGTTGGAGCAGTTGGTCACATTAAGGAACTTTGCAGTATTTATATTTAAAAAGAAGGTGTTTAACATTGAGAGGGTGTAGAAATGAGAACTAAGTATTTTGACTTAGGAAATTTGTTTTTCGTACCATTGACCCTATCTGACACAAAGGGGTTCTCTCTGGCATTGAATTGATAGAAGAAATAAAACTTATCTATGCTTTACATCATTTACAACCTGAAAATATTTACAAAGTATAGGAACAGGCTGGCCCCATACTACCACGGAAGGGTAGCTCCTGTGGACCTCTGTCCTTGCACGGGATTTCAGGCTCTCAACAAAGAATTTATAGAAATATACTCTGAAAACCATGAGGCTAGATCTGGAAGGGCTGTAGTATCCTCTGAATATGTAGTGCTCTGGGGACAGGTTCCTCTGTGCTGAAACAGGTCAGTGGCTGACTGATTGGGATATAATCTGTGCACTCAAAATCGAGGTGCTATGAGTGAAATGGAATCTATTGCTAATCCCCCCAGATATTGCTCCCATTAGAGAAAATAAATTCCTCCTGAACCACATATCCTTTCATTTCTTATGGCAAATATAGCTCCATTATAAAATCTTATAGGACCACCGTTGTATATGCATAAGGTCCGTGGTTGACTGACACATCATTATGTGGTACATGACTGTACACACATTTAGAATCGCTACATCTTCCTGGTGGATTGATCTTTTATCATTATGTAATATCTGTCTTTGTAGTAATTTTCTTTGCTCTGAAGTCTGCTCTATCTGATATTAGTATAGTCACTCTTGCTTTTTCTTTAAAAAAGTAATGTTTGTATGGTATATCTTTTCCAATCATTTTACTTTCAACTGACTTATGTTGTTGAATCTGAAGTGAGTTTCTTGTAAAGAATATATTGTTGGGTCATGTGTTTTTATTCACTCTGTAAATCTCGGTCTTTTGATTATTATATTTAGCCCATTTACATTTCAGATTTTCTATCTATGTATCATCTGTCTATATCTATCTATCTATCTATCTATCTATCTATCATCTATCTATCTATCTATCTATCTATCTATCTATCATCTATCATCTATCTATATCTATCTATCATCATCTATCTATCCATCATCTATCTATTATCTATCATCTATCTATCATCTATCTATATCTATCATCTATCTATCATCTATCTATATCTATCATCTATCTCTATCTATCTATCTATCATCATCTATCATCTATCTATATCTATATCATCATCTATCTATCTATCATCTATCGATCTATCTATCATCTATCTATCTATCTATCTATCTATCTATCTATCTATCTATCTATCTATCTATCATCTATCTATCATCTATCTATCATCTATCATCTATCTATCATCTATATCTATCTATCTATCTATCTATCATCTATCTATCTATCTATCATCATCTATCTATCTATCTATCTATCTATCTATCTATCTATCATCTACCTATCTATCTATCTATCTATCATCTATCATCTATCATCTATCTATCATCTATCATCTATCATCATCTATCATCTATCACTTATCTATCTATCGATCGATTGATAGATAGATGGTGCCTAAGTCCACCATTTTATTATTCATTTTATGTGTTTGTTTTCTCTGTTTTTCTTTTCTTATATTCCCATGGGTTACTTGGATATTTTTAGCTTGATTTATTAATAATGTCTTTGAGTGCATCTCTTTATATAATTTTTGTAATGGTTGCTTTGGATATTACAATATACAGTACATAAGTAACTTATGACAGTCTGCTGGTAACATTTTACCACTTGAGTGAAGTTTAGAAACCTCACTTGTATTTAGGTCTCTTTACCTTCTTCCCCACATTTAAATATGTATCATTGTCTTGAATATCAGATGTTGTTATACTTTTTGTGAGTCGTCAAATAAGATTTATGCAACTCATGAGAAAAACGATAGCTTGTTCTTTCCATTGTTTCTATTTTCTTCCTGATGTTCCTTCTTTTATCATTTCCTTTGGGTTTGAAGAACATCTTTTAGCTAGTCTTTCAGGATAGGTCTGATAGCAACAATTTTTTTTAGTTTTTCTTTATACAGAACTCATGGTTGACAGTTATTTTCTTTCACAATGTTGCAGAACCAGAGACGTTCACCTTACAGAAAGACCAAGTGGCACTCCGAGGCTCACGGTTCAGGAGGTTTATTTATAGTGGGGGGGGCAGGGGAGTCCAAATCCAAAGTCTGAGCCCCCAACACATTCGGGCAAGGAGTTATATACCATACATGCTTCCACCTACATTGTGGTCGGAGGGCGGGGCTAACCTACCTAGTTTGGCATGCGGGAAAGTGGCGGGGTGCAGGAAGGGGAAGC